CGCAATTGTTTAATGGAAGTTTAATGCGCGTGATCCAGTTACTTGAATTGTGCAGTTAAAATTGTGGCACTTAGCTGAGTTAAAATTGATGGTAGAAGCGGTAAACGCTGATAAAAAGCTTTTTTCTTCTATTGAATTCTGAATGGGCAATCTCTTAAAACGATAACGAAAGATGGTAAAAAAACGTTTCCGATATTTTTAATAATCGTATCTATATATAATTTGTTTTAATGATAAAAGAGGACAGCCAAGCATGCGTTCACTTGACAGTAGGTGAAATAAATACTGTCTATAGTTTACGCGAGTAGTACACAATTAAACTTTAAAACGCGATATATTAGTTAAACTCACGGGGAGACCCCCAGTGACCACGGCTGCTGCAAAGCATCCGAAACGTCAGGCCGAAGTTAAAAATCATTTCCAAATAAGTTTAACTAATATATCGCGTTTTAAACCGTTAAAGTGTTTTATTTAAAAGTAGGTGAAATAACCCAGCCTATATCTAAACAATGCTATCGATCTATTTTGGCTTTGGATATTCGGAAATCCACAGACTGAAACCGAAACGATTATACTTCGCGGCTTTGTCATCTGTAGACGGTGGTTCGTGACCCAAACGAAAATACGGTATTCCTACCATCCATTAAATATTCAAATTTCGAGACGAATACCAACATGTTTCAGAAGAATTATAAATTGATTTAAAAATGTTGGACCCGGTGGAAATCGAACCCACGACCCATTGATTATTAATGGTTTAATGATAGCCGTACATGGCTATCATTAGGTACACCAAGGAGCACGTGGAACGTTTTATGCCGAAATATATTTTGCTTCTTATTTGTACAATATGCTATAACAAACAAAGTGACCATTCACATTAGCAGATGCGAACGTTCGCAACTGAAACAAATTTACAGCAATGTACTGATCGAGCGACGGAAAACAGCGACCGATGAAGCGTTGGACAAGCCACGAAGCGCGAATTTTCGCTTTGCTCGGCGCGTCGCCGTTCGTACCGCCGGTAAGGCAGTATCGATTCGTTAGGAGAAAAAAATGGCATACTTTCTAAGTGCTTTACGACTATTGCAGCCGTAAATTTGAGTTAAAAGACCATCGATTACATTTATGGCTAACCTTCTTCGGTAAATTGGTGATATATTAGAAAATTTTACCATTTTCGTATTTACTTGTAAACGATAATCCAAGCCAAGTTAACTACTAATTACAGTATCAAATTATTCGCTTATAAAGGGGAATTTTTATGTCTTAACAGTTCAATCGATTTTGATAGAAGGAAAATACATGATATATTTTTTATTACGAGATGAAACTTACTTTAATAGTAGGATATTTTTCAATTTGGTATTTACATTAAAGTTAGATGCGATTTTTCGAACATACTGTGCATATAAATAGATATGTACATATTTGAAGATCCCTAGAGGCTATTTCTTTCTTATGAGAATTTATTCAACGACGCGAATGCCCTGGAAACGGGCACATCAAGTATTAATGGAAAAATAACATTTAAATTTGATATTTACTGACGTTCGTAAAGTATAAAAGTTTACGTCTAGATGTGACATATTTCACTTGTTTTGTATTGTTAATACACACAATATTATCGCACTTTATAAACGGGTAAAAGATTGTGAGTGAAATAGTTTTTGTAATAACTTAACACATATATTTCTACTGTCTATAGTTTACGCGAGTAGTACACATTTAAATAAAACACTTTAACGGGAGCCGTGGTCTCCCCGTGACCACGGCTGCTGCAAAGCATCCGAAACATCGGGCCGAAGTTAAAAATCATTTCCAAATAAGTTTAATTAATACATCGCGTTTTAAACCGTTAAAGTGTTTTATTTAAATAAATACATATATTTCTGTCCTCTCTGTCACTTCCAATATACATAAATACAGACAGACAAGCATAGTCTTCACTTGATGGTAGGTGAAATATCGTGTTGTCGACCTATTTTGGCTCTACATATTTGTAAATCCAGACTGAAACCGAAACGCGATTAACCCGTCAAAGGTTTTTAATCTGTGGGTGATCTAAGAAGTCGACTATGTTCGGAGACGAAGTCCAACATGTTTCAGAAAATCTATATTAATAATTAAAAACGGTTAGACACACTGGGGGTTGAACCCACGACCCTCAATCAATCAAAAAATCACATCAATGAAAATATAAACGTTTATAGAATTGTAGAGAAATTATCGAATAGATTGATAAAAAATACATGTTCACAACCATTAAACGTATCATCTATATTAGACGAATATTTATTTATTTAAATTAATATCTCTGGAAACGTGAAGATTATACTATGTTTGTATCTTAGCTCGTTAGCCAATACTTTCTCGCGAATAGGTCATAGCATTGGAGTCAAGAATATTCAAGTGAGTGCACTAAAAGCCCTCCTAGCCGTCCATTAAAATGTAGCGAACCTGGTGCCACTAGGAGTAGCAGCTTTGACTAAATATATGTCAATGGAGCTGAGCGTTACTTTTATATATTTATTATGACTGTCCTATTTCACATCTTCGAATGAGTTAGGTCAAGACATTCATCGTCTAAAATTAAAAGTGTATAAGCATTTTACGTCATTTTGGAATCAATTAATCAATAATAAATTTTTCATCCACTACCCTTTATTTATTGAAAATGCGGCTGAGTTGAATGAGCACTAATTGAAGTGAAAATAAAAATCAATAGGTTCTTTTTGTGTGTTTATTTAAAGTTAAATTCTGTTCTGAATAGCGTGGTCGATTTTATTTACAGGTATATGTAGTTGATCAGACTTTTGTAGTCTGCCCGACTGTAACTATTTATTACTAGGTTTCAAAACCGGGACATCTCGTGTATAATGCAAAGCTAGCTACGGAGTTGGTGGTTTCTTTGTATTTTTAAGCTTATTCGCGTTAATTAAATTAATATAACGTAATTAGTAACGCATTAAATAAGCAGACTGCCAACGAAACTATTTAAAGTAGGTTACGTGCATGTACCTAATTTATTTGAATCTAAAGAGTTCATGTGTAACAAAAAATAAAATAATAATATCTAGGGCGACACAATTCGGGTATACGGCTGTACGCGCAAATGAGTTCTTCTTATAGTGGGAATGCAAAGCTTTGACGTTTTTAGTATCACATTAGGTCATGATTTCCATATTTAGGCTAATAATTATGACTTTAAGAACGTAGTAACGTTATTAGTCACAGGCTTGTCAAGGACAGTTTAAAATAGTTTTATCCTTTTAATAAATGTATATTACGATTTGGATAAAAATATTTATTTATAATTTTAATTGTGTTCTATGGTATGAAGAATAAATCGCATTTCCTATCTTCCTTTATGTATACAAAATCTATGATTGTCTATTGGACTGTATCCATGTAGTCGTGAGTCAACGCGTTTCCGATACAGGTCTATACAGACCATCAGCTAAGTAAACTAAACGGTCGTAAATTTTTCCGCAAATATGGAGATAGCTGGTGCAATGACCTCAGTTGTCACGGCGAAGTGTACCGTTATGCGCTTACCTTTACTTTCGACGAGAAACGCCGAAAAACAGCGTTTAAATTGAGCTCGGAGCAACGTACAAGTTCCCATTCGCCTCTATGTCAAGGTCTCTTGTGTTTTAGCTTTAGTAGTTACTAAAATAGGTGATAATTTACAAGGATGTAGTGGAATAGCGTTATCCCCCGTGAGACATTGGGGCACACATTTCAACTATCAGTTTTATTTACAGACATGTAGTTGATCAGACTTCTGTACCCGACTGACTTAGATAATCTTTTGTTTCCCCGGGGTTCGAACTCAGGACCTCTCGCGCTTAACACAATTCTAAGCAACGCGTTAACTATTTAGCTACAAAGGCGGAATGGAGGTGGTATACGAAGATGTCATTAGAGCTATGTTTTTAAAATCACACATAAGTCATTAATAGATTTAAAGAACTGGAGTAATTATGTGTAAAGTTATGTTTATATAATATTTCTCTTCAACGCATGGCTATGTAAAATCCCAAAAAACCTTTTTAGTAATGAAAAGTTGAAAATTGACTAAAAGGCCGTTAAGACTATTAAGAAATTAAGTCGAAATTATAATTATAGACGGAGTTCATTTTTATTGTTTAATAAAAACGATCTTATGTTATTATGAAATAATAACATTTAGTAAAGTTATTCTAGCTTTTTTAAACATTGATATATAACGTATGAAGTAACCAATCGTTTATTTATTAGTCTTGAATTTAAGTATATATAATATTGCCTTTAAAATATCCGGTGGTTTTATAAACGACTCACCGGACAATTATCGGCATCCGTTACATAACCTCACGTCTTCAAGAGATAGCATAGCAATTAGTCTCACGGTAACTATAGATATAACGGAGATGAAAATCATCGAACCGTGTTATTATTAACTGTTATCAACAGCTGATGTAATAAAAAGTCGAGAAGATTTTATTTATAGAAATGTTGATGGGGACTTTTGGGGACATGATTTGACAGTTGCAATTTACATAGTGAAAGACATACATATGAAAACAACATAAGTTCAAAATACCTATATGACATTCTTCTTTAAGATAAATATGTAGGCAATTGTAATTTTAATTACGTCAAATTATAAGCGTCTCCGGTCTCAAAGTATAATACCCGTTTTCCCTGTAACGCTAACAGTATTCTGTGTTTAATTGCTTTAATGTATTGGCAAGTAGTTGATCGGAGACATCAGTGCCCCGCCCGACCGAAACTATTATCGTTTCCGGGGAATTCGAACCTAAGACCTCTCGCCCACACAATAGGCAATGGATTTAACCACAACTTCGGAGTTGATTACGAAATTTTGGTAGTAACTGATCATTAAGAATAAATAAAACAACTTTCCAATAATTTGGACTCAGTGTACTAAGATACGTGTAATTAATACACAACGTCTATGATTTCAGAGAATTCAAGTTGTATGGATGTCGAAAATGAATATTTTGGTGCATTTAATTGTCTACGCAGCCATCGCGTGTGCTGAGAATATTCAAGAAAGGTGGGTAACTTAAAAATGTAATTTTTCGCTTAATGTCCGTCCTTCCATGTTTTTCGTTATTTCACGCTATTTTCAGATTTATTAATCATTTTATTTACCTTTTCAGACGTTCTAAACTTCCATACATTGCTGATGCTGTTGGTAACAGCATACCGCGGCCATCAAGTGTTCCAGCAACAGTTGGTAGCCCAGTAAACTTACTTACGCCTGATAGATATGAATTCTATACGTTCGACGAGTCTGGAGAATTAGTAAAGAGACTAATGACATTAGAAGAAATTCAGGCAATAGTCGCGGCGGGTGAAGACGCCGATGGCCTAGTGACGTTTGCCAATGAAAATCAACCAACTATAGCATTTAATTTCAGCCAGCCACCTTATACGAAAGTAAATAGTGTTGTAACGAATGTGCAAAATGTCCTAAAGGCTCAAATGGAGGCTCATAAGAATAATCCTCAAATGCAACCGACCTTAGATACGCCGGATGTCTCTGATTCTTGGAGTTTGATCCTACCTTCTATCTTTGGAAATACGGGAGTTGATATAATACCTGACAAGACGTCTGGGTCCTTTATTACTCCTGAAACTGAAACAATTGAAGTTGACAACTTGAATGGAGACTATTTATATAGTTTTAGCAAGGAGGCCAACAATCCACAAATCACCTCTTCACCACAAATGATTGAATCTACTTCAAAAGTATCTACGACAGTTCTTGATAGTATATCTAAGCATCCACCTTCCTTGCTACCACAATCAACGATAATGGTTAAACCATCACAATCAGTTACTACAACAGTATCAATAAAACCAACAACAGAAATTAACAAGCTTAGTACTGAAAAACCAAAGATTTCTCACTCGACGCTAAAACCGACTGCTGCAAGTACTACTGCAATCAAACCACACTACTCTTCTTTACGCAACTACACTACAAAACCTAATTGGAAAATAACCCCAGTAAATTTGACTACTTTGAACAATGAGATAAGTAGTCTTAAAGAAAAACAAACCACGAAAACGTTTACAACAGTAACTGAAAAAACTGAAAATTCATTTATTCCAGTTTCTACTGTGTCCTATATAACGCAATCAGTAACGAATAAACCATCAGCTACATCTATGCAATCCACAACAGTATCAAATATAAACTTATCAAGTAACAAGGTAACTGAAAAAACTAATTTAACAATGAATCCTCACCAAACGTCCATTGATTCTCATTCTGGAAGTAAAGATGACGAATACTTTAAAACGAATACTACTACTATTACAACGCAATCTGTGTCACCGTCTACTATTCCATCATCTACAGTAGTCACTTCTTCCGAAAAATCCATCTTGAACGGGGATTCCATAAACAAAGAAACTCATAATACGGAGAGTGATGAACCCACTATAATGCTATTTGACGTTGCACAAAGTATAAGTCAAATTGCATCAGATTTAGGAGGTAATTTTGCACCATTACCTACTTCTAGTATTTTAGATACAACAAAAGAGACTAGTGTTAATATAGAAAGTAAAGAAAGTGTTGATATTGACATTCCCCAAGAAAATGAAAAGATTAATACGGAAAATCCTGATGATATCACTACACCTGATATTTTTGTCAAAGTTTCGACGATAGATGCACATTCTAGTAACAATGCCAAAGAGAGTATTGAAAAAGTTACGAAACCTGAAGATAGTGGTTACACTACGACATTTGTTCCAGAGACAACTACTCAAATGGAGGCTACTACAGCTTCTAATTTTATAGAAACTACTACGCTAGATTTAATTTTATCAGACTCGATGGGTGATTTGCTATCTCAAGTCGTTTATCAGACTAATAATATTATATCCACTTCAAAAGATGCATATAATTCAAAAAATAATAACAATACAATAGATCCAGTCCTTATCAACAACTCTGAATATCAGAATAATGACAGCACGGCAAACCAAACGGTTTCAAAACAAAATGCTGAAGTTCAAGTAAAAGTTGCTGAGACTTCAACAGTATTATCTACGACTACTCCAAAAATTTTAATCGACTTTAACTCTGAATCAAAATCAAAAATGACAACGGAGAAGTCAGAAATACTAGAAAATACCGAGAACAACCTAAAGGACGATGAAAAACCTCATTTTGTACCAGTTTCATTATCATCATCAAAAAATTCAAGTGAGTTTGAAATTTTAAAGCCATCACATAGTAATAAAAATTCAGTACTTATTCCCAAAACAGAAATAACACACAACGATAGTTTACTCACAGGAAATCAAGGCAGTTTGCAATCACAAATACATAAAGAAATACCGGAGTCAAGCCTAAAAATTGATACACCCAGTAGCATAATTTTAAACAAAGATATTAATGCTGCAGGGAAAGACAATACCATCAATTTAACTAAAAATAAGATAAACAACAAACCAAGTGATAAAATCGCTGAGGTACCGAAATTCGATGAATTAAAAAAGAAATTTCAAAAAATTAATATAGACGATAAAGAGCTATCCAATGAACGTAACAGTTCATGGAAACTGATATCCACTGTAACACCGCCAAAACTGAATAGTGAACTTAACAATAAACATAAGCCAGAAGGATTTTATACTCCAGAAAATAGCGCACATAAACATATAAGCTTAGAATTTTCTAAGGAAAATCAAGGCCTGGAAGTAACTACTAAAGATTTGGGTGAAGATATTTTGCAATTTGTAGAATTATGTAACGAATTAGCTTTCCAATATTGGGATGACATTACCAAACACATCGATAAGAAGCGTAGTTTAGTATTATCGCCATATGCCATTACTTCTATGCTAGCCATGATGTTTATGGGTGCTAGAGGAGCAACATCTGGCGAAATGAATGAAATTTTAAAACTGGATGACATGGTTACGTTTAATCCTCATTTTACTTTGAAAAATATATCAGACTCGATCGACATTTCCCCTGCTTCTGGCGTAGCCGTTTCAACATTCATTAGAGAACTGTATAGTGACAAAACAAAGGGCAAAATTTTGACTTTCTACAAAGAGAGAGCTCAACAATTCTACAACGGGCATGTAGAAGAAATAAACTTCAAACTAATTAGTGATGTAATACGCCGTAGGACCAACTTATTAGTTAAGCGGTATACCTTTGGAAAAATTCAAGAATACATGAAAACAAATGATATCGTGATGCAACCACCTTTGGCTTCATTTTCTATGAATATTTTTGAGGTAAGATCTACATGTTTCATTATTCATATATCTTTTATTACTCGTATTCTTAGAATATGTAAATAACCTGTAAAGTAAAAATATATGTCGATCTAATTAATAAAATAATGGTAAGATAAATGAAAAACAGATAGCAGTATTTTAGTTGTGTCGACTATGAATATTTATATGACTTTGCACAGCATTGAAAATTCAATTTCTATTTAAAGTAAAATAATGCATGTTTATTATTTCCAGACTGACTGCACAGGATCATCTGTTGATGGCAGAGATGGTGAAATGTATTTTGTGGTATCACCAAACGTACGACAAAGGCGTCTGGTCCCTGTTCCGGCCGTGGTATACAGAACCAACTTTTTGGCTGGTTATGACCCCGTTTTAGATGCCACTGCTGCAGCTCTAGGAAACACAAATTCTATTATTAGTACCCTGTTTCTCATGCCTGGTCAGCAAGGAAACATAGTACACGGTGAAGATTTAGAGGCTCTCGAAAGACGGCTGCTAGCGTCAAATCCAGCCGTGGCTTGGAATCGTCTTTTACGCACTTTATTGCCGCGAATTGGTCTTGAGCTTCAAATTCCAAGATTTTCACATAAATCAATTTTTAATGTTTCATCAACTCTACGTAAAATGGGTTTAAAAGATTTGTTTAATGAAGAGAATGCAGATTTGGGTGGCTTAAATGGACCATCGAAGAACCTATACCTGTCTGATATGGTACAACTAAATTCATTCGTTACTTGCGGCGAAAGTGTGATATCGGAACAACATCATATTGAAGAATACCCGGAGTCCTTGGAGATTGAAAAAATTCAAAGACGTCGAAGTGCTAGATGGCTGAATTGGGATGAACCAAGGGACTACCAGCGGGCATTCCACGATCCACACGATGTAGGAGACGCTATGCACCTTCCATTGCATCTACGACCAAGACAAGCAAGACTACCAGCAAGGAATTCCCAACCAGCTAGATTAAAATTTGACAGGCCATTCCTATTTTTTGTTAGGCACAATCCCTCCGGTATGATTTTGTATGTAGGAAGGTACAACCCAAGACTTCTTCCGTGAGTTTAAAAAGAATGTTTTGAAATTTAAAAAAGCTCATGTCTTAAGAAAAGTATCAAAGAAAAACATGAATTGATCTTTCAACTTACTTGATTACTGTTTTTCAGTCAAGAAAGTTATTGGCTTCTATAGATATAGATAGTAAACTTGATACCAGCCACCAAAATTAAAATTATACCTTTAAGGATGTCGATTTGCTTTTCTTGGGACGACTGCACAATATAATTTCCAGTTTTATCAAATGTAAACTTTATTTTAAGTGACAATTGAGATAAAAATGGTCTGTGGGTGTTACATAAGTGTAGGTTAGTGAGCATTTACGTGACAGTATTACGTGACTTTGGTATGCAGGTACTTCAATGTTACAATCTTCGGGGCATCATCGTACCTTCATACTAATTCAATTGAATAGTTATTAAAACTTTGAGTATTCATAGATTAGTGGAAAGAATATAGAGAGTCTTCAAACTTCAAGTTAGGTTAAGATTTTTTTACAGTTATTTAAGACATACATTTAGTAAAATAAGAATCTGTAAAGAGTAAAGCAATAATTGAAATATCATCCGTAATAATTTAAGGAAAGAAGAGTCGCGATTAGAAAAATAGGTACTTTATTGTAATTACAATAATTCTAAATAAATAACATTTGACACTACTTATTGCGTTTATGTTTCCTTAAATGTAGAATTCTGCGCACTCATCGAAAAATTCTTTCCACTTAAAGCATTCATCTGTTTGAATTACCCTTGGACAATTCTGTAAAGTAAAAAAAAAACTGCCGTATAAATTAATGCAGAAAATTAGGCTCAGGGACAACCCACAACCTTTTACACAGTTTACATTTTTGTGCTTATTACACTTAAGGCATCGTAGAAAAGTTATTTGGACAACAAAAATTGTTTCTGTTTAATTCTATAAATTTAAGTTACCCACTAAATCGTCCGCGCCCCGAACTTCTTGTAAAGTTAATGTTAAATGATAGACATATACTGTCGTTGATATTTTTTCAGATCATAAAAAAAAACACATTCTTTATACAAATTGTTTGGGTATCTTGAACCGTTTTACACAACTGAAACCTACAAGGATAAATAATTTTCTCCGTTTTCTCCACGTTTTCCGATGTTTCGTTGCTCGCGAAATGTTTTCACCGACACAAAAAGAACTTTTCAATTCGAACCAGTAGTTCCTGAGATTATCGCGTTCAAACAAACTCTTCAAATGTATATATAGTAGGTAGTTGACGGATGTCACTGAAACGATTAACTTACCAAATTCATAAAATTTCGAAAACACAATAAAAATTGGTAGAATTCACAAATCATTAGCGGCATGAAAAGTCTAAATCGTTGTCTGCAATGAACCTTGGCTTTCAGTATTACAGCGGAGAATTCAGAATTAAGAGCAGCCCATTTCTCGAGATGTGTGTAAAATTTTTCATCGTTGACTGATCGGTCTGTGTTAAGAATTTTATACTTATCCAGAACACATTCCCAATACGAACACTGTAATTATAGGTACAATTTAAGAAAATCTATTCTGTAGTTATAATATACTCGTAGGTAATATAATAAAGTTTTTTTTTATCGAGTTCAAGTAACAGTGGAACGTATACCGGTCAAATAATTATAAAATATATAATAACGCCTATAAAAGTGGTAGCTCTATTGTATATAATTTTAAATATCCCAAGACAAAAGATAGATCGACAGAAACGGTCTTGTTTAAAAGTTTACATGGCTGGGGTATTGCTGTCTCTATGGTCTGTCCTGCTCTATCATACAAAAATAATATTAACGTTAAAGTTAATATTGGCATAAAAGAACATCTGTATGAAAAGAAAGTGTAAAAAAATTCGAACGGCACTTGTTATTTGGTAAGCAGAGCACAGCTCGTCTGTCTGTTTAAAGGTTTTTATTATGTAAACAAAATTTTATTACTTGTCCTGGATAATGTCTTTTTACAATAGCTGTGTCTAAAACTTTGTCATAGTTCGTTACAACAATAACACCACCGCAGGATCGAAAAACCTCACTGTCAAAAAATCCTGGTAAATGACAACAGTGTCGTTCCTGAAACAGAAGATAATATTTTACACTGGTTAAAACACGAACTATATAAGTTACTAGCTGATTCGAAAAATGTTGTTTTGTTGTTTACAAGATTAATATTATTATGTTGATCTAATTCTAACATTTTCGAGCAATTAATTACCACAAAAACGGTTCTTGCGAGTTAATCTTAAGAGTATATGTGTATTTACTGTCGTAGACATTTACTTTGATTATTTAAACAAGCAACCTCTTCAGCTTAATAGTAATAGTAAAGATTTTTTTTTCTTAACCGTCACCCGGCGTTTCCCAAAGGCTCTCTGCAGCCGTTGTCCCGTAGGGACTAGTTATGCTAAAGTCATAATTTCCTCGAAACACCAGCTAGACCGTAGTTTAAATTATTACCTATAGTTTAGTTATGAAATAGTCTGTTTTAAAATGTTGCAAGCGTACTTACAAAGATATCATTTGTGCCATAACATCTTTCCGGCTTCACTGGCATTTGCGTAAAAAAAACTCCGTTAACCTACAACACGTTGAAAACAAAAACAATCACATGAAATAGGTAGTAATAAATATCTAACGTTCACACATACATTACCTCAAAGATTAAGTCGAGAAATATTAATTGCAAAAGCATCGTGTCTGTTTCAAACAACCATTAAGAACTAATAATGCTTTGTAATACGGACCTGTTTAAAACTGTCATTTGATACATCGGTTTTGTTGTTACAAAATAGCTCAGTATTATGTGAAACATTTTTAAGTGTAGTCTGTATTTTACACGAGTGATACACATTAAACAATCTTTGACGTTTTGAAAAGAGAAACATTTAAATAAAACACTTTAACGGTTTAAAACACGATATATTAGTTAAACTTATTTGAAAATGATTCTTAACTTCGGCCTGACGTTTCGAAAGCTTTGTAGCAGCCGTGGTCACGGGGAGACCAAAAGTATTTTCGAATAAGTTTAACTAATGTATCGCGTTTTAAACCGTTAAAGTGTTTTATTGAAATGTGTACTACTCGCGTAATCTATAGACAAGAGAAACATGTTAAAAATTACCTACAGCAGTGTAAGTGGCTATACAGCAGCCGCGGTATTATATTTAATTTATTTTCATGCTATATGCTCTTAATATAATACACAGCTTTCTGTCAATAAGTACTTTATTATTTTATTAAACATTATACTCAGATAAATTAATTTTAGTTTCAAATGTTTACACAAACTTCGCTCTGCACTGGTTAATGTGTTTCAATAATTTGTCGCACTTTTCGCTCTTCTCCCAGGTTGGACAGTTCTGAAAAAAAATATATAATTCCTTATTTACAAATACATTTTCAAACGCTATCATTTATGTTTAAACATTTCTTGGATTTAGAATCATCAATCAATAATAATCCCTTCAACTATAAAAAGTTTATTTCTTCGCATAAACACGTTTTAATATAAAAAAAGTAGAAAGAAAGAATTAATCCACCAACTCACATGGAAAACTTCAAAGAACAAGCAAGAAATCACTTTGCTAGGCCCACATATTCCGGGAGGTCCAGGTAAATTTTCCTTAAGGCAAATGTCTTTCGCATTCTCTACTGTTTCTTTAAATTCAGTGTTTTCTTCTGTATACTTGTCTAAAAATGCAGAGACTGCATCTAAGTCGAGGTTTTCGTCATCTTTCATTAAATTTTTCTTCTTCATTATGCATATATTTTTGGCGCACTGTAAGTTTTAAAGTATTTAAATATATAATATATATGTATATATAGTACACAAAAATAATATAATAAAAGCAAGTATACACTCGACATAATATAATAATACAGGCTCCAAGTTTTATTTAACTATTCTTTAGTCTAAAAGACTAATATAACCAAAATAAACTTCAAACAGGAACCTGATAAGAAGAATTGCTTTGCACAAAGTAATAATTATTTAGATTCAGCTAAAAAATGATTTCATAAATATTTTTATAACATAATTTTACGTCTGTGCCAACTACTTTGTAATTTAAAAGTAACCCTGATAATAGTAGTTGGTACCGATTAATATTTTTTTCGAATACTGATTCTGTTTTCTAGTTGCTTTAATATTTTTTACAATATTGTGTGATACTGTAGTAAAGTTGTTGGAACAACTTGGCCGATAGGGCATTTTTTCTAACACCTACTTAGTAACTAAAAAGTATTATCAAAATCTGTTTGAACAAACTACTTTTCTGGTGTAACTTACACAGAAAAATTTTAATGTATTAGACATTGAAGCCAGCGCCATCTAGTGATAGCTACTAAGACTTACATCAGGTGGTCCTTTTCTAGGTTCTTCGCGACCTGGCAAACCGCACTCAGCGCGATCTTCGTCGGAGAACAAAACTGGTAATTTACAACACTCAAAAGGTTTGTCCTGAAAATAAAAAGCGTTGTTATTAAACCCAGTAGATGACTCTCTCGCACAGATTTTTTTTTTTTCAATATAATCTCTAGTGGTCAAGTTTCTCTACCTAAACAATCAACTGTCGGTTAAAACAAATATTGTAAGTCAATTACCAGTAAAAAAAATAAATATTGATACGAGATGCTTATAAGATGTTGATTCTATAATTAAAAATAATACTAGAAGAAAGTTATATTCAATTTTAAATAATTAAAAAAAAAATAACAAACTTACTACAGGAGGACGTCCACAAAGTGCTTCACCTGAATTATCAGGAATGACACCCTGAAATGTGTTTTCCAAATAAATAAGTTTCTATAAGATTGACACTTGGATTTCACATAATCATCAATATTTAATGTGTACATTTTGACTCGATCTATTTATTAAATTACTTTTAATATGCTTCTACATCATAATAAGTAGAGTTGAATTTTAAATTAGAAAGATTTAAAATTTTAAAGGAGTTAAGTTTACTACATATTTAATTTAGTTTTAGTAGATTGTACGTGTAAGTTTGCAATACCCCAAAATTACACGTTAAATCTAGTATAATTTTTATTCCGATTTATATATGTGTGTCTTAATGAATATACCAACACGCACTTGGATAATTTGAAAAGATAATTGTCAAAGTGCGCATTGTTAGCATTTAAGGGCATATACTGGATAATAGTAAAAATAATAATTAGCGAAAATTACCTGCAACATTGATACCAAAACTAGAAAACTCTTTAATCCTAACATGGCTGCTGCTGGGGGTAAACTGATGGTGTGATAAACTGTCATATGTTATATAGTACCAAACACTGGCCCTGACTATTGTCCGAGACGGGAAACCACCAAGGCATTGTCATAGATTATTACCAACATAACACAATGTTTGGCTGAGATAATTATTATTATTATACTTTATTCGCAAATTGTGTTTTAAAAAAATATTTTTATTATAAAGTGACATTACTATGTGTTAGGAATATTAAGGACTACAATACCACAAGACGACACATCAATAAGACTATATAAACATTTGTGCTGTTTTTTGTTATTTATATGTAAGGAAACGACCAATACTTAAGGTCTCAAAATAAAACCCTTTAACGTTTTAAACCACGAAATTTCTAGATTAATTCATTTCTCACTACAACCCGATGTTTCCGTTGTTTTTCAATCATACCAATAGTTAATACCAGTAGTTAGGGCTTACAAGGGCAACAGATAAAATTGTGTTTTATTCAATGTACAAAACACTAAACTATAATTGTAACTTAATTATTTTTATCTATATAGATAAAAGTAGGTATTCATTATAATGTATACCTACTTTACATAAGTAAAATTGCTTATTTAAAAACCATTTAGGTAAATGACTGAAATTTTTGCATTAAATTTAAAATGTTGTGGTCTGTTGGAGATGATTATCAACATTACAATAATTTACTTTTTGCACCTATTTATTTGAGTAACAACGAAACGTGTGATTCTGTTTAACCATAATCTTTATAATAAGTTTATTCTTGAATACTTTTATTGTTTCTTTGGGGTTTCCGTTAATTGTTTACGCCTTTGTTTAGAATTCCCTCAGCGCGAATGCAAACACACTAATATTTTTCTTCGGAGCGCACCTGAAGAGATCGATAGTCTGTGGTATTATATGATAAAAACATATGTATTATCTAATACCTATTATAAAAATTCTTCATTGAACTGGTGGTATTGTATTTATTATTATGTAAGTTTTCATGTTCGCTTAAATATATGTAGTTTTGAATCTTTCATCTTTGTATAGCCCAAGCATCCTACCGAAGCCGACGTCGTTTGTTCGGCATTTCCTATATTCGTTGTCGACCAGAAGTTGTAAAAGCAAGAAGCATATTGTTCAACTTTGGTTACAATTTCTAATGTGCCGAAAATATAATTGATGGTGTCAGTCAGCCGGGGCATAGAAAGATGATCAACTGTGTGGCTGTTAATAAAATCGATTAGAAGTACATACACTTAAATATTATGTCCTGCATGCCCCATAACAATTCTTTACGGTTTTTATCATGTAACAATCTTTAGCTCTGAATTTACTGGTGGCCGAAGCCGTTTAGTTCTTTAAACTTAAAACATAACATGTTAAAAACCATTTTTTTAACATGCAGGAGGACAGACAAGCAAGTGTTTAATTGGGGAAACTACCCTAGCCATATAGCATCTAAACGAAATGGGCTGTCAACCCATTTTTGCTTGGCTATTTAGAAAATCACAGACTGAACCCGAAACGCAATTAATCATGAAGGCTTCTTCATCTGTGGAAGTCGGTTCGTGACCCGGACGGAATTTCAGTATTCCTATTAATGTAATATCTAGATTTCCAAAGGACGTGCAACAAGTTCTAAATAAAATTTATTATTAGCCATACATGACTACTTTTGCACATCAAAATTACTCTACCTTATAGGATTAAGGAAATGTATAAAGTTTTTTATTTGTAAAAAACCTTTCACTTATCTTGGAAACGCCCTTAAGCCTTCATGGTGGTTGATTCAGTGTCACCTGTTGACACGAAACTCTTTATATAAGATTTTTACTTATTTATATTCTTCGAAATTTTACATAACCAGTATTATATAAGTGCTATTCTTGTTCATCAATAACATTTATTTCCTTCGTAACATATATTGCTACTAGATACATAATAAGATAAGGGTGTATTTTGTTATTTATTTTATTTCGATTAAATTTTTACAAATAATATATTATAAGCTTGCAGTTCAAATTGTAAATAATTTCTTCAACACTTCCAGAACTCTTTAGGACATTTCTGAAAAGGAAACAAAACTTTTATTTGTTTACGCTTTGTTTTTCTAGAGCGATGATACTTTAGTTGTATAAGAATAACGTTCTTCATATCGGCAATTTGATTCCCGCTCCTGTTTCATATATTTTGTTGCACACGCTGTTGCACTTTCTTCATAAAATTATAATATCAGTCATAAACAAGCAGGCGTATTACGAATTCCAACTGTAGAAGTTCTGACTAGTTATATATTACTTATTTTAATAAAACATATTTACCTTCAGCATAGCGATTCCTGTACAAGTAAATACATCATAAGCTTTACAGGGATAATCCAAATACTGTCTAAGGTCTCTGTCTACACAGTCCTTGATAGCTTTGTCGATGGCATCCTTCCACTCTTCATGACTGTCTAGCCACTTTAGTAAGTGTTTCTTATAAGCCTCTTTGTTCAAGCTGTATTTGTCATTGAGAAAACCAGACTTCTCAAACACGCATTGCACGTCATTGCACTGGAAAATGCAATAATATTTTGCACATGTTACTGCACACGATGGCACTATAGAATTTAAAAATCGAATGTAAATTGAAAACGTTCTCGACTCGGGCAGGACTTGAACCGGAATCGTCAGCGTTCCGTGCTGTTGCTTTAACCAAAAGTAAATATGAAATCCAATATTAATCGCCCCCTTTCTAAATTGTTTGTTTGTCCCTCACGTGGGGTATAGGCCAGACACGTATCTAGTGAAATGCTTATACTTAGAAATCGTTATTTATGTACATACACGATGAAACCTTCTGTCCCCTGCCTGACCGAACTATTTTATTTCTTTCCCGGGGTTTCGAACCAAAATCTCCCGTGCTAAGCTGGCCCGTTAGTAGCCGTTGAGCTACGGATTCGGTCAAGATAGTATTAATAGGGAGTGAGACACGCTCTTGTTTGTCGGTTCAATATCCGCCTGGGTATTTTCTATAAATATATATAATCTACTCACGGGTCCTGGTAACTTCGGAATGGAACATTCGGCTAATGGTTCTTCCTCTCCTATTTCTGGTATATTACAGCATGTTGAAATAGGTTTCTGAGTAAAAGATAAACAAAATAATAATATCTTTCAGTCATATTATTGTAAATGAATTATTATTAGTAGACAATTGGGATACTCACTAGAGTAGCACGACGTGTTCGTTCTTCACCCAAAAAGTCTGCTTTGCACGCCTGTAAATATATTTAACAAACAAATGTTTTATACTCATTATAAATTGAATGAATTGCTGAATGAAGAGAAGCTTCGCTTTACTTACTTACTGCTCTAAAAGGTTATCTATAACTTATAAAATTACTTACAATTAAATGGTTTTGATATGTAAAAGTAGTATGTATACTGATGGGACTCAAACTCACTATTTACAGCGTGTCATACCATTGTTCAATAAGCTATCGTGTAACCATCGTTTGCGATTAAAAGAGACAATAGTCTATTTACAAGTTTTTGAATCTAAAATTATTATTAGCTTCAATAACCAAGATTGGAATAGAAAGAACTAAGTTGTTACTTAGGTGCAATTTAAAATGAACTAAGGTGCACCTAAGAGTTTATAAGTTTGAGATTTTACTGTTATTTATAGTCATATGTTAAGATCTTATATCTTTACAAGTTGGTAACTGATATCATATGCAAGTAAAATAATAATGGATAAACAATGTTCCGATAAATGCGATTATGTCGTGCGGAGCTAATTTAATTATTATTTTGGTTGTTCTAGTCAGTATTCATGATAAAATTACCATACATTATAATATTGTTATTCTACCAATAATCTAATGGATAGAAATAAGGTTGTACAAGATCAAGCAGATGAATTAACATGAATTAACTTTTTGCCTGTAAATAAAATTAATCAACGAAAACATACTGAAATGTGTCACAGTGCTTTGATAAATTTTACATACCAAGAGAATCACAATAATCATATATGTTTTATTACTTCATCATCTAAATGAATCTTTTCGGATGCCTGATGTTATATAAAACTCACTTTAGTAAAGCAAGTCAGTTTTATATGATTAACATTTTAAACTGTGCGTGTATCAGTTAACTATCAAAAGACTAAATATAGGCGCATTAAAAATCAGATTAACCTATTCTAAGAATTATTGGTGTAATTTCAATTAAACAAGAAAACGATTTTTCTATAAGGAAATAACTCTACATCTGAACCACAGTAGTAAGAAAATAATAAGAAAAAATCCACTTACCAATACAAATAAGAGAAATGAAAATATTGGGAGCATTTTGCACTGTGTCCTATTTCAACATCTCCCGCAAACAAACATAAAAGTTATCTGCACTGTTATAATATAAATATGTTATTGAAGTAAATAAAGTTATCTTGTGTCAGAGGTTAAATTACTTGAAGAATGCGAGACGGGAATGTTGAACTTTCTACTAATAATATATCATGACCTGTCTCTTGTTAATAATTATCTTATTAATACCTCGGGGATTTTTTGAACTTTTGCTGTTGTATTGCTTATCGTCGTAATAGAAAAAAAATCGACGTTTGCCTAGAGTCTATGACAACTGCATGACATGCAAATTGAGCGCGAAAACGTTATTCACTCTGCATATATTACAATATTAGGACATACTAGATGTTGTATTATTTAAATCTATATCTATACTAATATAATAGCTGAAGAGTTTGTTTGTTTGAACGCGCTAATCTCAGGAACTACGGGTTTCAATTGAAATTTCAGTTAGAGCTAATTTGTTAGTTAGAGCATTTATCGAGTAAGGCTATAGGCATCATCGCGCAAACATCGCGCTGTGACTAATAGATGCGAAGATACAGCGGGAAACTTGAACAAAACGGGAGAAATTATTCATCTCTGTAGGTGTCTGATGCGTACACCGCGGAGACGGTTCTGAACACTCAAAGAATATACAAAGAGAAATGATTTCTCTTTAAATAATCTGAAAAAATGTCCGCAAGAAGAGCTTTGCAAAAACAAAATTTGGATGCCCAAAACAACTATTTTACGCGGACGAAGTCGCTGACACAGCTAGTTCTTTTTAACATATAAAATATTGTAGTTTTATTTCTTAGTTATTAGCCTCATAAATAAAAAGATATTCCTTAGAGCTCAGGCGATTTCATAGAATAAAATAGAAAAATAAATCCGAATTTCAAAGTAAAAAAATTTCGATTTATAAATTAATCTGTCGGGGCACAAGCTCGGCACATTGATTTACGACGGTCACTGATCGTAGATAGTTCACAGTTAGGTTTTATTTTCATGCAAATAAAACAGACTTATACCTAGCGAGAGCGAAACAATATGTGTGATGTCGGATACGACATTCGAACCTACACACTATTGTGTATAGTGTGTAGGTTCGAATGTCGTAAACACAACCTATTCTCTTTAAGCCATCTAACCTAATATATAAAGCTAAAAAATTGTTTGCTTGAACGCAGTAATCTTAGGAACTATAGGTCGAATTCGAAAATTATTTTTGTGCTAGAGCATTTATTGAGGAAGGCAATAGGCTATAAAACATTGCGCTGTGACTAACGGTGGGAATATACAGTGGGGAATGTGAACAAAACGGGGGAAGTTTTTCTTATCTGTGGGTTTTAGATGCGTACGCTGCGAAATCGGTTTAAGACACCCAAAAATATGATTCCTCTTTAAATGATCTAAAAGCTTGAGTTTATAAAGATGATGGGGCGCAAAACCGAATTTGGATGCCCAAAATAACAACTCTCGCGGACCAAGTCGCTGGCACTGCTAGTTTACAATAAAGATTAACAGAGTGTCGGAGGAAGTAAAACGTTAGTCACGAGTAATGCCTTACATCAAGCAAAAATAACACGTGGTAGGATAGCTTTAATTTATAAAGGTTTATAATCTTTTTAAATGAAAGGTGATCGCAAAAATTTATTTGGCTGCCCAATATAACTAATAAACGCGGTCGAAGTCGGGGGCGTAGTTATAAAATAAAGTACTAAATTATGCAATTCGAGTCTAGCTCTGGAACATGGTCAGTTATAGATATATTTGGTCCCATCAAAGACATATTATTTTTCGTCCAGATATTAGCTGAAAGGAAGTTACTTTTCGATATATTCTCAGAAAACAAGGTGCGATAGTGCATTTACGCTTATCTACGAGACATTTTCAAAGTACACAATAGGTAGTTTATGTTGCATTACTTTAATGTGTTTTATAAAGATCTCTGTGTGCTCTATGTATGTGGTTGATTGTTAATAATAATCTTTATTAATGTGTTTAATGTACTATTACTTGAACTATTATTATTATTAACAAAGTATTATAATCGTGATACTCAATTTTCAATTATCTACCTCATAGTTTAAGTTTAAAAATATTTAGGAATGTATGAAATACCATAATAGTATTCACTTATCTATAATTGTAACTACGCCTGCTTATTTATAAAATCCATTTGTATTTTCTCAAATAGTGATTCATGTAATCTTCTGAAAAAAAAACGTAAATAAATATTATTTATTGTTAATCATAGCTCTTTACATTCCTTTTATTTCTTACTAGCGGTGTCTGCGACCTCAGCGACCGCGGTCGTTATTTTGAACATCAAAATTTGTTTTAAACCTCTTCGTCTTCTTTATAAAATAGAGATTACCCACGCCGTCCGTAGCGTCCCGTTCTAGAGTCGAGAGCGTATATAGAGTCGCGGACATTTTTAGATAATTTCAAGAGAAATCATTCTTTCATACATATTTTTTGGGTATGTTGAACCGTTTTAGCACTCATAGGTAACCCTCGAAAACGAATAGTAATAAGTTGGTTTATATGTGCACCGCGCCCTACAGGTATTTAAGCTTAGCGTTCGTTTTGTATAAAGTTTATACACAAATATATATACACAGGCAAATGAAATAGTCTTTAAATCCATATTGGTCATATTGTCTACGATTAAACTGTTAAGTGTACACTCCCCTTATCTCATTAACACATTTTATGTGTAATAAGCAGTGGAGTGATCACTTGTATTGAAAGTTTTAGTTTATGTGTCGTAAACCAATCTTACTGCCCGCAATTGAGAGCTTACAGCCTAGGATGGTGACGCGACGAATACATTACGTAATTTGTCATAGTCTAAGAGCTAGTAACAAAAATAAACTATTAGTAAAGCAACTACAAAAATAGCAGGATATTCTAAAAACACTCAAGAAGATGAAAGAATGATGAAGCTATAATTTCACCAAGCGCAACATACAACTGAGGCTGCTAACCAGAGTAGCCTTCTACCAAACATGATTTTCAATAAAGAGGAAAATAAAAATGCGCAAATGACTTAGTCCAAAATGAATTTAACGTTTTGTGTTTTTACACAAATAATGGTATGTTAACAATTTTCAGTAAATGAGTAAAATAACTCTAGTTACAAAAATTGCAATTAGGCTACTCTGCCTCCAGCGAATTATTAATTTATTACTGAAAAAAAACAATACCTATTATATTATTTGTATCTAGAATTACTTATTCTTGATATTCGTAAAATTATGAAAACCATTAGTTTCAATTTATAAAATTTAATCAATAAAGTAAACCTTCACTTGTAAAATTAAATGCACTCCTTATCTAGACACAATAAAATTAGTACGTTACATTGTTTTTTGTATACTATATTAATTTATCGTATAATTTAATTCAAATTTTTAGACGAAGAATATAAATTAGATGTAATTATTGCTGTTTTACCAAATCTCTAGAATAGAACATACATTGTAGTTGTAAAGGGTGAAAACAGTTAATAGTCAATGTTATAAACTACTATCCAATAAGCTACTTTTACATAATATTACATTTTTCTTTAACAAATTCTTGAATCCAAATATATCGATTTGTCAAAATCTATTAACAAAATGAGGTGCGATGTCTTTCTGGTGTTCAACCGTACCAATTATTGTTATAAAAAGAATCTTTAAAGATCTGAGTATCCAATTAAAAAAATATTTCAAGGCTTTGTCTGCCATGGCGAATACTTAGATAAATATGAATAGATAACTTCTTGAGGATATTGTGATTCCTTTTTAGTTATCATTTAGCTAGGAAAAGAATATTTAGAATTATTATTTGATAAATTAAAAGAATATCACACGGATGGGACTCGAACCGGCATCACAGCGTTCCGCCGTGACCAATTCCGCAACCGAGGTCTCGGATACGGACTGGATAGCTAAAATTTTTTTTTTTTTAAGTTACGCTCTTGTTATACGTACAACCTTAAAAAATGTCAACTATTTATTTTTCAATAATCGATTTACTATTTGATATACTTTGAATTATCACTAAATGTCAGGTAGACATAATAAAAGTAAAAATAGAGATTAAGTTGTTTTTTTATTATTTATTTAGCGGTTTTATCATCAA